TATTTAGGTCTTTTTGGTTTGAAGATTACGCATGGAGAGTGTACCATGAGCGTCTCTTCTTGAAAGATCCACTCGACAGATACAAAATCAAATGTTAGAAAGATTTAAGAACTTATGTTTGATTTGTTTGTTTCATGATCGAATTGGTATAAGGGCTAAGTTTTTTTTAGTACTTTTATTTTTCCATAAATACGTTGATATTTAAAAAAAAATGATTTTGAGATATGTTTATCTTTGATTCAAATCCGTTTTGATAGTTACTTATATATAATAAAAGATCCGACCAGAGAAGCCACCTTGAATTCCTCGCATCATCGCCCTGAGGCCAGGATGGAAACAACTAGTGTCCACAAGAGAAAATATAGAGCCAAGCATTGATTCCTTTAGGCAAAGGTTTGCCTCTGTAAACCGCAAACGCAACAAGCGTCATATCAGCCGGAGAGAGCTTGGCTGCAAAACTATGATGATGATGAACGAATCCTCACTCGCCCCTTTGAGACATTTACTCATCCCGATTTCTGTTCACGACGACATGTCTCCACTAATTCTATATGAAGCACATGGGTTCCCCTCTTTGGGCGATTTTCTAAACTTGTTATGAGTGTATATATCATAAATTATGTTTGGATATATAAAACGATTCTACATCATCATAGTTGAGCATTAACCACAAGCCAAGCCTTCATATTCATCCATATAAGCAAGTTTTCTTACAAGTTACAATCAGAAATTAAACATTTGAGCAAAAGCAAAAGGCAAGTAGTTGATTTAATTATGTTTTGAATCTGTGTATCTTTTTTAAACGTCTGGGATGTATTATTAGAGAAAAACAGAGCATGAGTTTCAAATACCAAAAAGAAAATCTGTGTATCTTAAAATCTATTTTCTTCTTAAAACATTTAAAGTCAATTCCGTTCAGTTTATTCCGGCTTAACTTTTGCTGTTACATATTAGAGCCCTTACGTCAAAATACTCTTTATTCCCTATTCTTTTTCACATATTATCTACAAGCATATTTCTGTTCTTCAGTTTTGTTTTGGATATGATGTTTCTGATCCAGAAATTTTTTGTTTGTTCGTAGATGACGTTTTTGATCCGAAGTTCTTCTGGATTCTATAGATCCTTTGTACATAGATCTAATTCTATGAATCCTTAATACATAGATCTAGTTCTACACATCCTTTGAACATAGATCATTTGTTCATCATCCTTTGTACATAGATCTAATTCTATACATCCTTTGAACATAGATCATTTGTTCATCATCCTTTGTACATCGATCTAATTCTATACATCCTTTTGTACATAGATTTTAGCTCTGTAGATTCTCTGTTCATCATCCTTTGTAATTTAATTCTATAGATTTGTTGTACATAGATCCTTAGCTCATCATCATTTGTACATAGATCCTATAGATTTTTTGTGTGCATAGATCCTGAGCTCATCATCATTTGTTGATCATTTATACATAAATCCTATAGTTTTTTTGGTGCATAGATTCATGGTTTCTCATCATCTTTACATATATCCTTAGTTCATCATCATTTTCTGATCATTTGTATAGTTTTTTGTGTGCATAGATCTTAGTTTCTCATCATTTTCTGATCACTTGTATAGTTTTATTTTGTTCGTAGATCTTAGGTTCTCATCATTTTTACATATATCCTTAGTTCTTCATCAATCTCTGATAATTTATATAGTTTTTTGTGCGTAGATCTTAGTTTCTCATCATCTTTACATATATATCATTAGTTCATCATCTTTACATATATATCATTAGTTCATCATCATTTTCTGATCATTTGTATAGGTTTTTTTGTGCGTAGATCTTGGTTTCTCATCATTTTTACATATATTCTTAGTTCATCATCATTTTCTGATCACTTGTATAGTTTTTTTATGCGTAGATCTTAGTGTCTCATCATCTTTACATAAATCCTTAGTTCATTATCATTTTCTGATCATTTGTATAGTGTTTTTTCTTGTGCGTAGATCTTAGTTTCTCATCATTTTTACATATATCCTTAGTTCATTATCATTTTTGCATATATCATTTTTACATATGTCCTTAGTTCATCATCATTTTATGATAATTTATCTAGTTTTTTTTTTTACATAGATCATTAGTTTCTCATAATTTTTACATAGATCTTAGTTTCTCATCATTTGTACATACATCCTATTGATTTTTTTTGGTCCATAAATCCTTGATTCATTCATCATTTCTAATTGATCCTTAGTTCATCATCATTTGTAGGTATTTTTTCATTAGATTCTGTAGATATTTTTCACTCATATACTTAACAATACTGATTTATGAATTTCGTTGGGAGTTTTTTTTTGTTGAAATGAGAAACTTTTCGTAAATTATCATTATGTAAAATAATTATTGGGACCGAACTGAAATTGCTGAGCCGAATTGAAATTCGGTCGTCTACTTTCGGCTATGAGTGGAGCCGATTGGCTCAACAATAATTTATAATCGGTTCTTGGTTCGGCTAAGAAGAACCGATCGGTTTAACCTAGTGACTAGGTTATTTATGCTTGCTCTGGACTTCCAAGGAAGAGGATTTTTTCTCCTTGGAGAAATCAGTCTGATTCAGTCGGCGGATCCAGACACAGTTGAGATGACCCTTTCTCAAATCACATTGAGTCCTCCTTATTTCAAGTTTGCTAATGTTCGTCATCCTTATTGAGTCTAAGTCTTGAGGTTATACTACTTTTGAGTAAAGTGATGTCGATCTGGAAATTGAGCTATTTCTTTTCATACTCGATACAAGTATCGTACAGTTTGGCTTTTCTAACGCTTTATCTCTGGTTTAATCTAGTGATTAGGTTCTGCTTCCTCGTTGACACTGGACTTTGGGGAAAAGGGTTTTTGCTCCTTGACAAAATCAATCTGATCCATAACCCTTTCCCTTCTTGTAATCTCCGTTGACGCCTCTTTAATTCAGGTAAACATTTCGAGAAAAAAACGGGAGTTACATTGAAAATAGAATGATTATTTCTTTGTTAGATCTATCTAAGTAAAATGATTTTCAAATACTTGGATATTATCTCAGATTTCTCATAAATATTACTGTTCAAACTCAGAATGTGGACTGTATCGATTTTCTGTGGATATAAGTATTGATAATTTCGTTTTGGATCTCACTTAAGCTTAGTTCCAGTCACTTCACTTTACATGCATCATTCAATCTTGACCTAGATGGTAGCTTCATTTCTAGATATGCCCAGGCTAACCTATTCTATAGATATATATTTAACTCTTCTCTGTTTTGTGCAGGTATGAAGACTTGGGGAGTCAAAAATCCGTGGCCTCGGAAGCCATCTGTCAAAGAAAAGCTGAAGCCATCTTCTAAAGGAAAGCTGCTAATGGCGGCTTTTATTGGCCCAGTTACTCCATCCGTTATGGGCTTGTTAACTTTGTATAAGAAGATGAACAACGCTCTATCTTTCTTTCCTACACACTTGTACGAATTCATCACATGTGGAGACCCCCCTGGACTATACTCTGAGATTGGCAAAGACATTAGAGGTATTCTTTGGACTCAATTCTTCAAATCTAGGTTCAGTTTTGTAGTGCATATGGTTAAGAACGCCCGTTGAGAAATCAGTTTGGTCCTTGATGCTTTTGTTTTGTATAACTTCCATGTGTTTAGTTTCATAACTTTGGTTCATTTTTGCATTGCCTCTTTTTATTTAAAATTGCCTTGTTGTGAAACAGTTAGGTCCCTGATGCTTTTGATTTGTGTAACTTTCTTGTATTTGCTTAAGAAGGCCCTGTTGAGAAATCAGTTAGGTCCTTGATGCTTTTGATTTGTATAATTTCACTCTATTAATTGTTTAACGTCTGTGGATCTCTGTAACTTCCCTCTGTTTACATCTTATTAGCTTGGTTTGGATTTGCAGATATTCTGTATGAGGACCATAGCTTCCATAAATTCCTGATTTGCTATCCTCCTTTCTGTTCGAATGTTACTCTTAATGAGCAAGACCAAGTCTTAGGAGAGGTATCCCTTAAGCCAAATCTAAAAAGTTTAACTTCTGATTTGAGATTCCGGTCTAACAACACCGTAAGTTTAGTTTGCACTTCTGTCTTTGTTCTATTTCTGTTGCAATGAATCTGTTTCTGCACTTGGATTGAGTTTATATAATTTCAGGTTTTGATGAGTACAACCATTAAAGAGGTTGCCCCTGGATTAGCACCGGGATTAAGTTTCATATCAAGTTTCAATGCTCTTAACAATGGCAAGGTTTGAATTTGTTCATTGGTTTGAGTTATAGTTTTCTATGTTTTTTTCTTTCGACTTTTTGTGATTTCTCTTAAATGTAGGTTGAGCTGAAGTTCTTGCACAAGTATGCTAATCTTAATGCAAGTCTCGGATTTCTCACCGATTTAGATTTTCTTAATCCTATTTAAATTAGGTTACTTTTCACTATTTTACAAATAAAGATAAATATTTTTATTTGTGGTAAAATTTAATTGAAAA